AGAAAATGCCTTTTCCAGTAGTAGAAAGATAAAGTAGGACTAGGTATGTTTCATAAGAAATTGTAAGTAGTGCAGATTGGACCAGAGCATGGCATACTTGAGGGCATTGACTCTGGATTCCAGATTGAAGAGGTTGTATTTGAGAACGCTTGAAAGCAGTTGAGTCAAGGGATGAACATGATCAAAGCAATATATAAAACGTATAGAATGATTAATATGGCTCCCGCATTAAGGATGAGAGATAGTCATGAGGCTTTTAGACCAAAAATTAAGGCAGTAGTATCATGGAAGTAAAAAATAATCAAGGATGAGTTGGGTAATTACATAAAACATTGGAGAGATCAGGAAGAGTGATTTGAGAGAATATCATTGGATTTGATATATGAACATTCTGGGAAAGTAAATTTGAGTAGACTGGAAGCAGACCCAGAATTTAGGGGATAAGAATGGTCAGTTAATAAAGGGAAGGCACTGGGCATTGCAGTTTTTTATAAGAAGTTTGATGGTCAAAAGAAGAGGATAGAGAACTTTAAGCAAGGGTTTTGGAGTTGATGGGATGGACTTATTTTGGGGAAGTAGGCAGGACATCTCATTCACCAGAGACAGAAAAGAATAATAGAGATATGTGAGGATGGAAGAATTTAGCTAAAGAAGCAGGTTGAGGAAACTTAATTCATGACAGGTTATCTATAAAAGTGAAATAACAGATGGAAACAGTGAATGCCTTCTTTCCTCAACTGTTATCTTAATGGGTTTTTTTCATATTATCTTAGGAAGCATAATATTTTCTTGTGAGGATGCTACTCTTTTCTATTTTTCTTATCGTATAGAAATAAGTATACTGTGATAATGTTGTATTTATATATGTAAACTTAAATTCTATAGCTGTATAGCCTCTGTGGATTAATCTTTTATTCTTTGGATTTCTGAATTACTGAGCCCAGGGTCTACTTGCTTTTGGTTACAGAAACTCATTAATATATAAACTTACTATGACCCATGTCTTTTTCTTTCTTTCTTTCCTTTTTTAAATTTCTCTCTTTACCAGTACATGGATATCATTTGTACTTAGGACATGATAAATGATTCTAATTTTGTCATGTCTTACAGTACCTTGTTAGGTCTTCACTGGAAACTTTGTAGACTCTAGTAGATCTAACATAGCCCATTTTGGATGAAAGAGTACTTTACCAAGGTAAAGCTTTTTACATATGGTAAAAAGCTAAGGAATTGCTATGTTTGTTGCTGATACACTATGCAAGTATTTTTCTCCTTTTATGATTTGTAAGTCTTGACACCTATATGCAATTTTGAAGAATTTAAAGTAAAAATGATATATATCGATGGAAAACATCTGCAGGGCATTGTTCATATTGACTTTTGTTCAACTTTCCATTTCTGGCTTTCTGTATTTAGAATTTGAAGATTATGCTTTCTAAAACATTCGTTTCGTTAATTCAGTAAATGCTGATTGAGCATCTGCTACATGTCAGAATGGTACCATGCACTCTAGGCATAACTTTTTCTTAAGCCTTCTTCTGTGTGTGTGTGTGTGCCTGTGTGTGTGGAGAGAGAGGGAAAGAACCTGACTAAATTATGATTATCAATACTGTGTAAAACAAGTCCCAAATATAAACTTCATTCTGAGTGAATTTTGCTTATTTTAAAACAATTCCTAAAGCATGGGTTTTGAAGAAACTAAAATACAGAGTTTCAAAAAAAATGTTTCCCAACAGGTGGGAAGGAGAAACCAAAAACAAGTGTAGAAGACTTACAAATTAAGAAGGCAAAGAAGAAGAAGAAAAAGAAACACAAAGAGAATGAAAAACGGAAGCGTCCAAAAATGTATAGCAAATCTATTCAAACCATCTGCTCAGGATTGCTGTCTGATGTTGAAGATCAAGAAGCCAAAGGCATCCTAAATGATAACATAAAGGATTACAGTGGAAAGAATTTGGATACCAAGAACTATGATTCCAAAATTCCAGAGAACAGTGAGTTTCCATTTGTCTCATTAAAGGAGCCACGGGTTCAGAACAACCTCAAAAGGTTGGACACTTTGGAGTTCAAACAGCTCATTCATATTGAGCACCAGCCTAATGGAGGTGCATCAGTTATCCACGCCTACAGCAATGAACTCTCACACCTGTCTCCTGTGGAGATGGAGAGGTTTGCAGAAGAGTTTGTGGGTCTGGTGTTCAGTGAAAACGAGAACTCTGCAGCTTTCTATGTAATGGGTATTGTTCATGGGGCAGCTACTTATTTACCTGATTTTTTAGACTACTTTTCATTTAATTTTCCCAATTCACCAGTGAAAATGGAGATATTGGGAAAGAAGGATATAGAGACAACAACTATGTCCAATTTTCATGCTCAGGTAAGAGGTTTTAGTTTTTTATTTTAACTTTTAATTATATGTTTTAGGCAAGTTTCTGTTCTTTGTTCCTCATTTTGCCATAGGTTTGAAATAAAAAGATAATATAATGAAACCTCTTGGGAATATTAAGAATAAATAACTTTCTTGATGTGAATGCTAGAGGTTAAATTTCAGCTTCTATTTGTGTTGTTTATTTTTTTTTAAAGAAAATCAGTGAAATAATTAAGATTCTTTGTCCTTTTTACCGTGGATTTATTTTGGAAGTGAAATGAATTTCGCTGTGTATTTTTTCAGTCCATACAATAGTTCTCTTACTTGAACATCACTTAAAATTGTCTTCTTCCTTTATGCAGTAGTGCTTTAATGCTTAGCATTGGATTCATCATGTGGAAGGTGCTGAATAAATGTTGGCTATTAAATATATTGTGATACAAAGGAATCATCAGTTAAATACGTGATTATGTGAGAAAATGAGCAGACCAGTGCATATATTGAGCTGCTTTCTATTTCCTACCCTTCTCTGTGTTGTAGAATATAGATTATTTTAAAAACAGAGACAGGGCTTCCCTGGTGGCACAGTGGTTGAGAGTCTGCCTGCTGATGCAGGGGACACGGGTTCGTGCCCCGGTCCGGGAAGATCCCACATGCTGCGGAGCGCCTGGGCCCGTGAGCCATGGCCGCTGAGCCTGCGCGTCCGGAGCCTGTGCTCCGCAATGGGAGAGGCCACAGCGGTGAGAGGCCCGCGTACTGCAAAAAAAAAAAAAAAAAAAAAAGCTGAGGCAGAATCCAGTCCACTGGCTCTTGGAAGTGAATGTAGGCCCATCTAAGTCTGGTGCATTGTTACTCATTCTCAGAGCAGAGACTGCTTAGGTCAAAGATCAGCCAATTGTCACATTTATTTGTGCTAAACTTTTGGTATTGTAAGTAATAATTGACATTCTAGTTTGGAAAGAGGAAAAAAGTGAAGAAAGTTTCAAAGGGATCTTTTAGTGATCATCTATCCCGAACTTTCTCAACTTAAACAAACGTAGATAGGAGTAACTTAGGGTTTTAAGGTTACTCAGTGCCAGGTTGCACAACAGTGCCAGGAATAGAACAAAATTTCCTTAAACTTCATCCAGGTCTCTTTTCCTTATTTTGAGTATATTTCTTTTTTTGATATGTGTTCAAGTTATAGTCTCCACCTTAAATGATAGTCTTGACATGCAATAACATCCACTCATACCAACCCCCCACCCCACAGTATGTTTGGTGTACATTGTGTAATATACTGAAGTCTGGAAAATATGTGGTATTTAAAATTTTAATGTGTGTGTGGGGGTACTTATTGCCTATATAACATGTTTGAGAATTGGAATTTAAATGTTTTTTAGAGCCGAAAGGGAGCTGTAGAGCATCTGTCACTAGCCCTGTCATTTTATAGAATTTCAGAATGGTTAGTAATTTGTCTGAGATTACACCTGTGTTTAGTGGTAGAACTAGACTGTCATCTAGGGATAGTATCTACATTGAGTGCTTACTGCCAGGAACTATTCTAAGCGCTTTATATCTAATAACTCATTTACTCTTCATTGCAATTTAATTTTAGCAATGAGGAAACAGTGAGAGAAGAAATAATTGCCCAAAGTCCTTTGGTATTAGATCATTCATTTGTTTTTCATTTATTATGTCTGCTAAGTGCTCGGTTTTATGGTAGGCCTCTTGACTTCCAATGTGATTTGTTTCCACTGTATCATAAACTTTCTGTTGCCATACTATGCAAGTTATTTCCGTCATCCTTTAAAGTCACAATACTTACATTTGCTTTTCAGATAGCTTTTAAGGTTAGGAATTATTAATTTTTTATTAAATGATAATTTTCATCCTAATTTGTGCAGTATGTACAACATGAAAACCATGCTTCCTTTTATTAAATACAACGTGATGCTGGCACTTGGTAATCATGCCAGTGTGTGGCTAGGTTGTGGGTCTCAAGTCATTGAAGTGCCACCTACCCTGGTTGCCATCACCTCTTAGGGTTCTTGGATAATACGTATGGCACAGAGGAAACTCTAGGCAGATGCATCCTCTTTGTTACCAGTTGTGGCTCTGGCCCCCTAGCTATGTGATCTGCAAGGACTGCTTTTAATTAATTAATTAATTAATTAGGCTGTGTTGGGTCTTTGCTGCTGCTCCCTAGTTGTGGTGAGCGGGGGCTACTCTTCGTTGTGGTGCACGGGCTTCTCATTGCGGTGGCTTCTTGTTGTGGAGCGTGGGCTCTAGACGTGCGGGTTTCAGTCTTTGTGGCATGCGGGCTCAGTAGTTGTGGCTCGCGGGCTCTAGAGCACAGGCTCAGTAGTTGTGGTGCATGGGCTTAGCTGCTCTGCGGCATGTGGTATCTTCCAAGCCCAGGGCTCGAACCCTGTCCCCTGCATTGGCAGCTGGATTCTTAACCACTGCCACCAGGGAAGCCCAAGGACTGCTTTTTGTTCTGCAGCTTTAGATTTCGTGGCAGGAAGCTGCCTGTGCACGGTCCATGTGCCTTTACCTCAGTGTCCTCCAGATCCAGCCATTCCTATGGTATGAAGAGGAGTATCTAGCGAAAAGCTTTCCTGAACTGGTCATTTGATATTTCCCCAAACTGGATTTTTACTTTGCTTGTTTTTTTAAGAGCTTAGAAGACTGAGGAAGTTGTTTTCTGCAGACCAGTTTTGTTTGTTTGTTTGTTTAATTAAAACCAGAGCAGCGAAAAGAATTTGCCCTAAATTCTGTAGAAACTAAAAGAGGACAGTATAGGTAAGATGTAGCTGTTTCTATGATCTTTATAGTGATAATGCTTACCTTTGTGATAATACTCTGTAGTTTTCACAGAAATTCATTTTTGCATCTGTTTAGCCTTTATTCTTAAAACATGTTAACGAGATTTTTTTGTGTATGGGTATATATATATGTATGCACACATGCACGTGCACACGCACACACATACAATACTGACAAAAGGATCAAGACATCCTGTTCTTTGATTTTGGAATTCTTTTTACTTGCATAATTCTATATTTCATCTTCATCTGTATCCCTGCCGATTGCCTGAAGAATCTGAAGACATGGTAGAATTATATATTGTCTTATAGGTCATGTCATTTTTCTGATGTTAGTGGTATAATATCAATCAAACTATATGAAATAAAATTCTATTTGAGAATAGAAATGGATTTTCGTAGAAAGTTTGTAACCTATCTATATCAGTTATTTTGCTGCAAATCAAACCAAAACCCTCAAAACTAAGTGGCTTAAAGATTTTTCTCACAATCTGTTGGACTCTCTGGACAGTCTTTGTCAGCTCAACTGGGGGCTGCATGGCCTCAATCATGTCTGATGGTTTGCCAATCAGTTGGTCTTAGGAGACCTCGCTTATTTGTCTGGCGGTTTGATGCAATTTCGATTGGGGTGATAATCACATTTTTCTCATCATTTAGCAGGTTAGCGTGGGCTTGTACACATGTTGATAGTTGCAGGGTAAATAGAGCAGAAAGAGGGCAAGCCTCTGCTTGTTTTGTGTTTGCTGATGTCCCATTGGCCAAAGGAAGTCATGAGGCCAAAACCAGATTCACTTCTTGATGATAGGAGTGACACAGTAACATTGCTCAGAAGTGAGCATACATGCTTGAGAAGAGTTTTTGGCCATTTGCGCTCATCCACATCTGTCTTAGTTTTTCTACCATCTCTATTTTCTTCAAATACTCATTTGGACATTGATCGTTCTCCTGTGCCTTTGATGGTAGGGAAACAGAAAGGCAAGTAAGACAGTTTTATCTGTCAAGAAACAATTGAGATTTCTGGCTTGCCATGCAATATTTAATCAGCATGCACTCCAAACTCTGTAGTAAGAACTGTGAGAATATGAAAACTGGGGCAGTTATCGTCTAATCACCCTTTTCCCTCCCTCAAACTCTAAATCTTATTTTTTATTTTATCCTGGTTCTGAGTTGCTTGTAGCAAATAACTTATGTCAAGGGTTAACTCATAATTAAATGGCTAATATTTTAATAGTGAAACAGTTATTAAATCTGATCGGATCTGTTAGCCTTGCCTCTCTGCAAAATGAGGGGAGATAACTAACATTTATTGAATTCATGGGTCATTCACCATGCTAGGCCAGTAAAGATGATTTGACATACCATCTTTGACCACTGCCAGTCTTTGTACTGAAATTTCATTTTGACCAGTTGTGCTTGTCATGTCCTCCTTGAATGCTTTTGAACTGATCTGTTATGGCAGGTACCAGATGTTCTAATTGAGAGACCTTTTCCTTTTTGTACTAGTTTAAAAATGATTAATAACAATTTTATTCTTATTTTAGTTATAGTTATATGGATATTTTTGAAATGTTGATTATATGTTATTTCTTGTTATGTTTTAATTTGAGAGGATATGCCAGATGTGATGGGGAATGGCTCCCCCTTGTGGCAGACATATTTTTGTTAGATGTTCAGATTGCCTCAGTAGGAATGTGGTGAGCTGGTGTTGTTTTATTAAAATACGAGACTCCCTTCTTTCCTCTTGCCCTCCCCCCAGAAAAGCTCACCAGAATTGAACCAATAGCCTCTTCTGCCCTCACCCCCTCAATTTTTTGCTGTAATAACTGTCCTGTTTTTGTGTTTTCTTTGGATTAATGATGATACTAGCTAGAAGCATCTATAATATCTTCTATATTTATTATGGATAACTATACTGTATAAAGTATAAAGTATTTATAACGTATTCTGTGGAATTTTTACTATCTTGGGATGTTGATAGGTACACTAAAAGAAAACAAGTAAATGAGAAAAACAGGTTTTGAAGTCAAAATAGTTTGTCTAATACTGGGCCAAATAAGTTATGATTGTTTACTGTGAGACTTCTCAGAACCTAGCCTTTAATAGTGTGTGGTGAACCTCTCAAACAGGAAGAGTTTTCCAAACTTACTGGACTATAGAATCCTCTCTTCAGGGACTGACATATCAGGGAATACATTTTGGGAG